GATGGTGGCAGAATGATGCACAGCGGGAGGGCACTCGGGCGGCGCCATACCAGAGAGGATTCCAAAGAGCTCCTTCACTTTATCATATGCGGCTACGACAACCATTGCACCCGCCCGGCTAAACCTCCGCAAAGCCATCATACCCTCTTTCTCTTTGGTTTCCTGTATGTTTTGGGCCCTTTCCTCACCACCAAGCACCCCAACCCGACCCCCAATTTTGTGCCTTGCCATTTTCCACCCCCTCCCCCACCCATCCTCCTCTCTCTCTCTCTCTCTCTCTCTTATGGTCGCCCTCAGAGATCCGATCTTTGATGGGGATCAATGCTGGGCGGAAGCTGAGAGAGATGGGGAGGAAAAATTTACATTGCACACCGAGAATTTCCTTCAACAGCTTTCGACTCTGGGATAGAATGACTGTTGTACCTCCAGCCCCGTCTACCCCAGAGAGCAGCATGACACAGCTGCATGCTGGATAATGGAGAGCAGCGTTCCCGATTGCTTACCAATCGACAAATGCGAAAAAATTATAGAGGTCCGGACTGCTCGAATCGAGCTAGCTAACTTGTACGGATGGTGCGAAGACATGTATAGTGTAACTTGTGGGAACAGTTTGTTAGGGCAAGCTAGGTTCAATACAATTCTATCTATTATGTGAAGGCTACGCTCAAGGTGGTAAGTTGGGTAAATTTTAAGCACTTTCAATCGCTAAAATCCCTTCAAGGTCTACTCTTGCCGATGCGGAGTTTCATCCAACCTACGGAGGTTTTTACAAGACCAAATATTGCGTCCATTGATATTAATTTCTTATGACTTCAATATGATGCTTGGCTACTAGCTCTGTCGTTCGTTGGAGTTTTCTAAATGCCGATAGAAGAACGGCTTCGCTCCACGTTTATACCACAATATGGCGGATTAATCGTCCCCGAAATTTCGTTTACGTTTCGTTACGTTGCATTGCTAGAAATACACAGCCGGCTAACATCCTATTAATTAACATATTATTGATTGAAAACTAATAGGAAATTGCCAAACACAGCGCCAGTGAAAAAAATCTCCTCATCTTAGTAAACTGGACAGGGGTTGGAAGACCTTCAAATAGCCTGATTAGTATTCACTTAATCCGATAAGACGAACGACGTTCTACGAAAACGAACACGAATACGTACTGAGCATGCAACTAAGCTCTAAAGTACAATATGTCACGAAGTGGGTGGGAATCCTATGCCCTCTATAATCAGCGTGAAACACGAGGCTATTTGAAAGCCATTGCTTGTTTTTTGATGCGGTCCGAAGAAATATAAAGACTTACGTAGGTATCACTCGATTGTAGACGCGTCTCCGTAGACGTTAATGATTTAGATATATTACACTTTTAATTCTTCGTTTTAGAGATCTAATAACGGTGTTATATACAGCCTTAATGAGTCCATCGACAATGTATAGGCCAACGTATACTTTAGCCAGCTTTAAGTACGTATCTATCCTTGCATAGAAGAGGCCTACTGATAACTCAGCGAAGCTTCCGAACGAGACATTTTTGACTCCAGCTGACAAGGCAACATTAAGTCAGCATACTTTAATATTCCTACGGTTGGACCTTCTTCAAAATGACGTTGACTTCAAAATGATGATTAGACCAATGAGCGTAATGAACAAATCGAGAAGGGCGTTTCAAAACGTTCGTGACGCAGAGGCGTATCTGACTAAATTTATCGAAATCGGCCATTTAGCAGTAAACTCGCTAGCTTACTCCGAGACGAAGTCTAGCTGCTCGATTCAAAGCCCTGAGCCGGCAACCCCGAGCAGAACTTTGATGGTTAAATTTGAATTTATTTCATGTATAGGTACATATGCATTAATGGATACCACTTGAATGGCGCGGTCACAGGTACTAGTGCCCAAAAGTAATACATAAAAAATTATTTTTAGAGGAAATCTCTTGCTGACCTCGCTGACGCGGTCCCGATCGTCGTACATTATGCGTACTTTGAACAGGCTTTGTTATAGAGAACGTTCGTGAAGATGGTGCTTCATAAGTTTAATGACGGCTGCCAATGGCGTGTTAGAGGTAATTTCACATGTGATAGACTGTCTAAATTCGACGATCGCAGCATAAAAAGGACTGTCGAATGTATCGGTAAACAGTGGCTATGTGTCATGCGGGTTATTTGGAGCAACTTCATAAGTTTACCACTTTTTAACGATAGTCCGCCTTCTTCTAGCCGGTGAGCCTATTATAGGCATCTGCTACACCGAACTCGATCCCGACGCTATGGTGTCATCTATAATGCAATCTTATTTCGTACGGAATGTATCACACGGCCGTGAATAGCGGGGCGGATCAGTGCTTGTATATGGCTGGATATTCAGACCATCAGAGTTAATTAAATCCGGATATACATGGATACGTTGATTGACAAAATCGCGAGAGGCATATAGCGAAAGCCAAAGCGACCGACAAGCCAGCAAAGCTTAGTGTCGCTGTCGGCTGGGCCTATTTCCTGCGACATTTTCTTTTCCCGCGAATCGTGTCAACCTCTTGCGCCACCTTTTCGCTCTTCGATTGCTCACGTCAACAAAGCCGACAGACTCGGCCTTTGTTTTCAGCATTCGACAACAATCAACTATCGGTCGTACTCCAAACTTCAAGACGACCTCTCCGGCACTAGGCTCATTCGTCGCTACCAGAAATAGGATGCTTCCTTTATTTGTGCGTTTCCGTGGCCGCTGCAAATCTCGACCAGGTCAGCCTTCTCTCGATTTCGCCCGCAGAGCGCACACAACGGCACAATGCGCCGCAGACCGTAGAAAGTTTGGCTAGCGACAAGCTGAGTGACTGCGTCGCCACCGTCAACGCCGTACAGTTACTACATTTACCACTGGTATTACCACCAACGGCGCGAGTATTACAGAGTTGGCACCACTTCTATGGCTGTTGTATGACTACTGCCTGACCCAGTACCGCTTCCGCTGCTACTGCTGCCGCCGCCGCTGCCGCCGCAGCCGCCAGCTGTGGCAGGCTTCGTCTGCTGTTTCGCTCTGTGAGCATAATACCGTCTCTACCACTGTAGCCTCCTGAAGCAACGTGATGCGCGCATATGGGAGGGGCGTAGGCGTGGCCACAAACCGAAGTCCTCGGGGCTTTTTCCCTTCTCGTCCCTCGCCCCCCGCCCCACCGGCCAAAAAGGGAAAAACGGGCCGCTGGTAGCACTGCTATTGCGGCCATTCCATTTCCCTATCCCCCGCTCTCTCTCTGTTTTGTCGCCAGAGGAATGACTCCTTCAGCTGTGTCGAGTCAGAGTTAGGGGCACTGAACAGACGAGCAACGCTTCGACGCAGAAACGAGCGAACTTCACCCCGGCGGGCTTTCTCCAGGCAGTGGTCGCTTGCAGAAACTACGTTAGGGGTTCTGTCTCTCTGTCTGTATGCAGCTTTACTTGCTTGCGCATAAGGGATACTCCGTCTGTCTGTCTGGATTTGCCGCAGGCATACAGCGTACGCCGGGGGTTTCTGTCTATGCTGGGATCTGGTGAAGCTGATGTACGCACTTTACGAGTAAGTCTGTGTATAGCCACTGCTGCCCTAGACGCTGGCTACCCGAGCCTAGGTAAGACAGGGATTTCTTTGAAACAAGGCAGAGAACAGGCAACTCAGAAGGCCCCACAACAACAGCAGCAGCACACAAAGAAGGACAAGAAAAACAAAGGCAAAATGCGTTGGATAGACAGTCGGTGGGTCCCCAAGCCAGACTCGACCCTTGGGAGAAAAAGGCTCGGCTATGGGAATGATCGAGTGAGGAGGTCGCAGCAAAGATCCCCGTTGTGAGAGAACGCGTTGGAGAGGATAGCCAGGAAAAATATAAAATTTTGCTGTGTTCAAACGGGAATCAGCAATTCGGCAAGATCGTTCGAGATCTCCTTCTCCTTTTCCTCCTTTTCATTATCGGCCTCTTTCTATATATATCTAAATCGCTGTCGTTATCTCATGTTGTTTTTCGCAGATGCTGCCCCTGAGGAGTTGGAAATCTAGCCAGCCGGTTTGGAATGACGACCCTTATAGCTTAAACCTCGGCACGGACGCATCATTGTTCTCTCTCTCTCGGCTTCGAGAAAACAAGGAAATCCTGAAAGCTTGCTAGGAGGTACGGGGCAACGAAAGCTCGACTCATCTACTACGCGAATGCTCCAAAATACAGCGAAATGTATGGATTTATGTACGTGGATAGCACGTATGACGGAGGACGACTGAAAGAAATCAACCGGAGCGGCGCATAAATCAAGATAGAGCATCTTTCGGCTTTCCTCCCTAAATATATCTGTATGTGGTATATAAACCGTGTGAATACTTACTTCAGCTATCATTGACCGTGTTTACCTTTGACTACTCAATAGAGGCGATCATAACTGCATCAGCGACAGGTTGCGTCACTTTAAATTGTCGACATTATGTTTGGTATAATAGAAATTGATTAAGTACAACTGTCCTGTTGTGTAACAATTTAGAAGTTAGCTAGGAAATTGTCTTCGCTGTTATTATACGTGTAGCTATTGTTGCAGGCACCTATTCATAGTATGTGGAATACGTTCATAAAAGAATAGGCGAAATAAGCTGAAGGACAGAGATCGCATGGAGCCTTTATACGTTATTTTTTTGAGCCAATGACATTACTATCTTCGTATACACCTTATACTGGCCGCAGTCAGTTTTAAGATGCAAAGAGCACGTTATTTAAGCAACGATATTGGTTCCACATCATTGTATAGATAGAGGGATCAAGATCAAGATGAGTCTATAATCAGAGAGTCCATAGTTAGGAAAAATCGGTTTCCTCTAGGAAAGGACCGGGTTTACAGTTTGAATAGATATAGTCTCCATGCTAAGATTCCCTATGAACGTCCGATCACAAAACAGCATCGACTGTTTTCTAAGTTGTGTCGACCCGGCCAGTAAATATAATATTATCCTCTCCATTAAGTCTGAATGTTGATTTTATGTCCTACCTTTACTGTGCGGAAGAACAAGTGACGCTTCCATTTTAACGCATTTAACCGCAACTGTCTGAAAGATGCAACAAAATTCACTATTATTAGGCCACTTTTTTCATTAAGTAAAGGATATATATATATATATATTTTTGTGTTACTTTAGCATTGAATCTTAAAACGTAGATCTTAGCATTCCTGGTTAGCTATTTTGTGATGATGAACATGATTTTGTTTACAAGTGATTTATAACTAAAATATTCAGCTATAAAAATCGGATGTTTGTCGACTCGGTCTGTTTGAAGATTATAAACGCTTTCTTTCATTACTTATAGAGTCAATTGTCTGGCTGACAGACGTCACACGCTTTACTACCTAAGATGACGCGGAAAGGCCATAATAAATGACTATCAAAGCTCTTAGTATAAGTTCGATTTATTTCTCACTAAAGACCTAGATAGTTTCTGCATATAACGCTTTCCTTTTTAGTCCTATAGTATATTTCTCCGTCAAAAACCTCAAGCCTTGGTTACGTGGCCTGTGCTACAGACTGGCCTTACTCTTTAATGGTCGGTCGAATGAATAAAGGAGTATTCGCGGCGACAGTATGGTAGACGACATTGTCTTGTATCTATTTCGGGCCCTAGACGACGATCGAATGTCCTAATGTATGATAGGTAACACATCGTTCTCGCACATGTCATACAGCATCGCGAAAAGCGTTTTTTACTTCATACAAACGGAGATGTATGGTCAAGCTGCAAGCGGCTTCAGTGTGCATGCGTGCGTTAATTTGATATTATTTACACACAAATATTATATTATACGTAGTACGCATGCATATATGTATAGATGTGTACATAGATATATCATATGGACCAAGGACATGGATCTAATCTCGTGTTTCCTGCACAAATTATGGGTAGCGGTGCCTGTGCTACCGATAATGAATCCGTTTCCGGCTTACGAACCCCTATTTGACGTCAATCACTAATTTGATATACATGTACACGTACCGATGGACGAACACAAGCAAGATATAGGTTGAATCTTCGTCCATTTATGCAGAACGCTTGCCTGTAGAAGCATTCTTTTGCGTTTATTCGGTAGACGGATACAATATGAATACGTATGTTAATGTTTCTTCAAGTGTTTTCAAGCGCCCTGCTAGCTTTTTTTGGACGCGGCCCCCAGTCTGTCTATCTTTGTTGCCAATGCATTTCTTGCCTATGTCTATATATGCATCTGCAACAGACGCGACACACAAGACATATGCCCTTTCCTGCAAGCTACTTGAGTATGCTTTGCCGCTACTTGTACCTTAGCAGGGGGGCTAATATGCCATTCTCTGTTGTGATGAAGGACCACCAGTATTTCCACTCTGGCCACTTTCCCACTAGCACTATGTCTTTTGCCTTGATCCGTATAAGTATCGACCACTACTTCGGCCGGCCCTCGCATTTGCTGCTGATACTACTGTTGTTTTTGTCGTGGAAGTATTCTACTAGGCAGCGGGTCACTGGCTAAATGCCCCATAAAGTTAGTTCGTCGAACTATTGGCTGGCTAGAGTGAGGCGACTGCTGGCAGCTATAGTCGAACTGGCAGCAGCACTGAATGAGGGTCGAACACTGAGCAGAAACATGTGTGGAGTGCAGGTGCCTGACTCAGTAGTGTCTTGGTGCTTGTTCACGAATCAGTGGGCGTTGGCTGCAACGGTAAAGCATAATACCGCTACCAATCTTACGGAGGACTAGGCTGGAGGGAAGCTGGCCATAGCTAATCATGGAGAATTCGTCCAACTGTACTAGGCAACTAACCGAGAGGGTCGAAATGGCGTTAGGCATAAGAAACGAACGACCGACCGACAAAGGAGAAAGAGAAGCAAGGAAAGGAAAACGACGAACTGGCCACATAGTGGCACCATACGACACCCATCGGACGGGCGAGCGGGCGGGCAGTCGCTTGGGATGCGGTGCGGCGACGCCTCCTGCGTCGGCAACGAAGCCGGTCTTGCTATGGTAAGATAGCCTTGGCCCTACACTTACTGTCCAGCGTGGAAACTGGTGTTGCCCACGGCGAAGGCTTGCCGAGGGTCAGTCAGTCGGTTGGTCGGTTGTTTTGTATCGGAGTTCGTTGTTGCTGTAGTTACCATCTTCATGGAGGCTGGCTCATCGACTTGGCCAGGCAGAGAACTAGGGTATGCCTGGGAAGAGGGGCAAACCTTAGCCGCTCTGCTGAGCCTCTTTCTTTCTGATCTTTTTCTCGGCTCCGTTGATCGCGATAGGTCCAAGCATAAGCGTATACAGGCAGGGAGTAAGAAGAACAAGCAAGCACCAGGCAGCCGATCCGTCTGTCTGGTCACTTGATCACTACATCCTCATCCAATTTCTTCGCTTACGGGACGACGACGGGAACAACGACTACGATCCTGCGAGAGCTGGCTATTGTGCTCTGGGGGTGGTCTCGAAAAGTAGAAGGCCTAGTGAACTCTCCTAGTGGCTCGACCGGTTCCACCCAGTTCTTGCTTCGTTCCTTAAGCGTTTGTCCGCTGAGGGGCATTCGGTCCGTCTAACAGCCATGCGCAATAGAAAACGCAATACAGAGAAAGAAATAACGGGAGAAAAATGGCGAGAGACCTCATTTCGGTCTACCCCATCTATATGCCCCTGTACCCGCCCTTGAAAGAGTACCATTTCTATTGCCCCAGTGCTTCGGCTTTATGGCCCTCCGCATTCCTGGCCTACCATTGGCCCCCAACTTTATCCTATCTAGAAAGAAGATGCTTCTTTCTTACTCTTATTACTACTAGTTTTTCTGTTGTTGTTGACTGCTGCCGGTCGTCGGTCCGGCCCAGATCGCTGGCACCCCACGCTGTTGGTCAGTGTTTCGTGTGGTTAGATACGCGCTTCCGCTGATTCTTGTAACGAGGATCTTTTGGTGGCAATTGACGGGCAGTTGGTCGAGGCAGATCGTTATGTGCAGCAATGAAAAACAGCGACCGGCGTGGGCTGCCAACGAGGAATGGATTGCCGACTAGCCTAAGTACTTGGGGTATCAAGCCTCCAAAAGCAGTTCCTCGTGGGACTAGTTACCTTTTGTGTGACGCAAGATGGCAAGGCGCGCGCGCTAAGGAGATGATTTACAAGTCCTCCGCACAATAGATACGCTGATACAACTACTGCCACTACTACCCAACGGAAGCGGATAATCTACTTGTGATTATATTCTGCAGCACTTGCGGCAACGATAAACGTTGAATCATTAGTGGAGCTCATGTATCGATGATTGAATAGATCCGTAATGGAAAGCGGAGGCGGCTCAGTTAGTGGCTGTCCTTTTTATTCAGGAACAGTTTAGGCTTATGGTTGGATGAAGCGTACGTATACAGTTAGAAGAAGGCTTTAAGTTTCAGTTCAAACAAATCCCTTCACAGATTTTTACCTAACCTTTTTGGTCGCTATATTTTTACATCGCGTCTATTCAAATCTACTCTTGATTTCGACCCTCTGTACATAGCTGCAATTGTGCTAATACAACAAAAAAAACTTAGACACCAAAACTACACAATGAGAAAAACGTTGAATCGTTTCTTCGAAGTTAGCATCGTCCGACGATTCAGCGATCGTCGAAGGCGAAACTCGTTCTAGCGAACGAACCATCGTCATCAAACACGACTATAAATAAATAGTGGCAAAGCTAAGTAGGTGTCAGCTACTTAATCCAAAGTGCTAACAGAGAAGCAATCGTTCATTCATAAGTGGTTTACTCGCCGAATGCATACAGGACAATCCACGTCCTACACTCAGATCGAGCAAATCTTCATCAATGATAACATTGCTACTATCGTTGTAGTTCTCTTCGCCGCCTTTTGTCTTCAAGTAGCTTGTACACGAATCTGATTCTGACCGGTCCCCATTCCGTTGTCTGTTAGCTGTTACTCAAATAAATATATTCCTCATGCGACGACAGTAGCGACAATTCTGAAACGAGAATCGCCTAGACAGAGACCTCTGGTGCGCGTTTGACGCTACCAAGATCGCGATAGAAAGGACATCGAAAGTAGAGCGCAACAGGGTCGGAGGCGGCGGCGGCGGCTATGGCAGCGATTTTTCCGAGGAAACTCACTTGACATCGGTCTAGCCTAGGTTCACAGCTGGTACCGAGAAAAAGGAGCTCCCGACACCTTCCTGCTTGCTGCCTCTAAACCTCTTGACAAAGTCTCGCATGTCACTTAAGGCAAAGGTCTCATGTGGAAATATACATGCACACTATTGTATATATAGTACGTAACAGCAGAAATTCTGCTTACAGCTCAAAATTTTAGAGGACAGAAGTTAGGCTTTCTTAGCGAAAAAGAGAGGCCGAGATAAGGAGCTCATCGTTGTACCGCGCGCGGACGACGCTGGCAAAGGGAGTGGCCAAATTCGAGATCCGAAAGGTGCACTAAGGGCTGAGGACAGGCATAATATCCTTGATCCATCACAGTTGCCTCAGGTTTCCTTATGATCCTGAGGGTTTACCTGTGTTGCTAACGCTTGCCTGAAGTATAAACTTGAAAATCGCATGGATTGTTTGCAACAGCGCCAGTGTGTCTTGTTGACTCGCGAATCTACGCGAGAACGGAACTAATAGAGAATGCTGGAGTGGGGGCCAACTTATGAATCGAGCTTATAAACGATTGGTCCAATCCAGCGGAATCAACTCAGTAAGTGTAATAACGTCTGGTCTAACTCTGTGACAATATATCTTAGTCAATCAAAACGTCCTTGATGGTAACAGGATAAGGAGCAACGTATTACACAACCTGTATAAGACAAAAAAAAAAAAACTATTTTCGATTTTTCCTTCTTCGATAGAAGTGATAGCACTTCAATTGAGTGTCCTGTCATTATGAATTCTCTGTATGTATTGTTCAAGGTAGCGTTTAAGTCTAGCCCGCTTTTTTAATATTGCTCCATGACCCTTAGCACAGATGCAACAATGGATTAACATTGGGGGATCGCCTATAAAAAAAGACTGGTGTTGAAAGCGCATGCTATTCTTTTCCTCGTCAACTTCAAATAGTTACTTCGAAC